AGAATGAGGACAGATATCTGTGCATAGTGTGTGTAGCTCATGGTCAGCATGACGACACATATCTGTGCATAGTGTGTGTAGCTCATGGTCAGTCCTTACCTGTTTTGAAGAAAAATGAAGCTGACATTACATTATGAATGTTGCTAAAACATTTAATTTCAGATAAATGCCTTTTAGTTTTTTACCTGCTTATTTTTATTTGGAGAGTTAATTGAATTCACTCAAACTGGGTTTAAGTGAGCCGTTTTGCTCTCATGAATATTCACTTATGTTTTATAAACAAAATGAAGGGTGGAGGATTCTCAACAGTTTTCATTTAAAGCACACTCACCTCATAAGTCTTTCATTGTACTGGCAGACACAAGGTTGTCTTAACTATTGTGATTTTTTTATTTAGCACTGGTCTTGAGACTAAGAGTTTGAGTCAAAATGTTTGAGTTTGGTGCCCCCTAGTGGCCAATATTCAATTCTAAATTCACAGTTAAAGCTGAAACAATTGATTCATTTTTTTCATCTTTTTTTTTTTTTTTTTTTTTTTTTTTTTTTTAACAAAACAATCCAACTCTTACTGATTCCAGGGACACAAATTAGGCTGTTTTTCTTAGACATCCATAATAATATACTGAATACCGTTGTGTCACTATTTTCTGACATATTACAAACAAAATGATAAAATCAATAAACCTCACAAATAATCAGCAGATGAATGTTTATTGATAATAATGAAAACAATATTTACACATATAAATTCAACACATAGTGGCTTTAAATTTGTAAAGCAATTGACTTAAATCCACCGTCAGTGAAGTGACGTCTCTCATCTGTGTGCACCACGCTGCAGCCTCCACCAATGGGCTCCATGGGGATGATGAATCCACCCACCATGATGTACTCCCAGCCTGTGATGAGGCCACCCAACCCCTTCGGCTCCGTGTCGAGTGCTCAGGTGGGTGCACGGCAGTCTGACCACGCCACCGAGCTGATGCACAATGAAGTCAGTATCTATTTGCGCAGTTATCAGGTTGGGTAAATAGGTGTATCCATTGTGCTGTCACGTGTGCCATAATTAGTCACCGTGTAAGCGTTGTTGTCAGTGTAAATACTGCTGAAAATGATGACAGTTTTAACAATGGACCCTTTCACTCATGAGCTGAAAGGGACAAAACTGTGAATCATCTCCCTTGTCTTGACTCTCCCCCCCCCCCCCCCCCTCCCCCAACAACACCTTTTTTATGAACCCGTCTTTCATACATCACAACGTCTCCAAACTAATCTCATCCCTCCTTCAGTCTCTGTACTGACTGTCTGACTTCTCCTCTGGTCCTCCTACTTCCTGTATTCCTTCCTGAAATAGCCCTCCGCAGCCTCTAGTCCTTCCAGCCAGAGTCCTCTCCGAGCCCCGGGACAGGACCCATTTGCACACCTCTCTCTCAAGGATTTCTTGTAGAGCATCTCTTTAGGTACAGCATGCTCTTTGCTAGCGGGTGCACCTGCATGTGTTACACGCCCAGTGCTAATACCCTTCTTGTTTCTTTCCTATCTTTACATACTTGATGCCTTCACCATCTAATTACATGCATTTTTTCCTCATTTATTCTGTTTTATTTTGACCTTCCTTGCTTGGATTTCTTGCTTGTTTTGACAGATTTGCTGCATCTTTAACTTTAACTCGTTCTGACCCTTTTGTCTTCCACTGTCATCGCTGATTGTTCAACCCTGTTTCCTGTGAACCTTGGAGCCTTTGCTGAATTTAACTAATTGATTGTTCGCTAAGCTCTATCCTTAGTTAGTGTAAAGCTTTTCGCTCCCACATTGAACATATGCAGTTTATAATGATAAAGATGGCTATTTTGACATCATTAATATTAAAAATAATGTAGTCAGATGTAATCTGAAATGAAGAAAAAAGTAAAAACTGCTGCTGATGGGTTTTGACCCGTTATAGCTAGCTATTTAAAAGTCCACTACCTCCATGATTTGGTTCAACATGCTGTCTGTGGCTGAAATATGTAACGTTTTTAGCGGATTCGTTTTAAAACAAGGGGAAAAAAGGGTGCTAAATATGCACTTGAGGGCCGTATGATACCATGCTAAAAAACTGAGGCTAAAGCTAACGGATCCCAGGGGGAAATTCAGCATCCTCCTCAGTTGATGGTCGATGTAACAAGACACACCTTTGTTGTTGTATTGCAGTATTTAGTTCATAGGAAATAGAATCATAGTAGAACGGACATTCCCTTTTTAAATCGACACAGCTGGATGGTCAGAGCAGCTGCCATTGTTGTGTGTGTACCATTGCAAAATGCACATTTTAAATTGTAATACTGGTAGATGTGTGGCTGTGATGAGCACACTGTGATGGAAATTGTTAAAAACTAAAGTTTAAAATGTATTTCCGTCCCAAATCCCAGGCAACAACAACGTTCCTCTGAGCGCCATTTTCTTGAACTAGTCAAATGATTGCGGCAAACATTTGGATGTCCCTTCTACTCATTCTACTGCTACGGTGGAGCTAGTTAGTCCTGAAAGTATGATGAGGAAAAGAGATCCACTCACACGTTAGCCTTTCATTAACATGTCGCCTGTTGCCTTTTCTTGCAGATGCAGTTCATGTAATTTGGAGAAAAGTGTCTCTCGGAAGATGAAGCACTTTGCAGCAAAAAGCTTTTTGTCCTCGTTGCAGTCTAACTCCACGGAGAAAACATTCACCCCCTCCCCTCCCCTAAATACAGACACGAGAACACAATGGTGCGGCGACTGTCACAAACCATGGTAACCATGTCCACATGACGTTTGGCGAGAGCTCACACCTATTATTCTGTAACTTGTCCGAGACGTGGAGCGATGCTGCTGTCTAAACCCCCTTACAAAGAGGATTCCTTATCTCGTTTTACAGCGTGATCTGTAAAGATAGATATGGGTGCTGAGAAACTTTGATGTTATGTATTTGGAACTACTGTGGTTGGATGTAAAGGCTCGATGTTCAGCGGGGGAGGGGGGGTGGAAGGCGAAGAGGAGAGCGGCCCCTCCCTTTCTTGATCCGATCAGCCATCCGCTCCCTACAGTTATTTAACTGTCACTAAGTAGTGATGCTAATGGCGTTTACACCTGTTTAGTTTTTGTCTTTTTTACAGTGTTTACAGTAGACATTCCTTGTGTGTTGTTTGTATTTATTTATGATTATTGGTTTAAGATTGGGAGGGGGAAAAAAATAATGTAAAATCTACAGTTCATTGAACACCTGTGGGAGTGCTTCAGCATCAAACAAGGATCTCAGACTATCATCGAGAGGTAGAGTTCAAAATAGCTATTATATAAATTACACCTATTAAGCGGAATGATAGAGCACTAAATATTCTACGAGTTTTGTGTTAAGAAACTTTTTTACTAGAGGAAAGATTTCACAATCCCCATTGTACTTAAAGTGCAGGGGCTAGAGTACGAGTCAGTTACCAGTATGTAGTCGATTCTGTGCCTAGGGGTCTTTTTTTTTTTCTTTTTTTTTTTTTGCAATGGGTCAGTTTTCCTGTCTAGTTGAAAAACACTTCATCCACGAATCTGAAGCGTCACACTGGGTGGTGGGCTCCATTTGCTTTAAGCTTGGCATGCCGTTGACTCACTGACCGTATTCAAGGCTGCCTTTACTCTGAATGTGGAAGAGTTGTCTTCATGTTGCACACATCTTTCCACACTACAGTTCCTCAGCGGGAGTGGGGGTGGGCAAGGGGTCGGGGTTCGAGGCGGCGGAGTGTGTCTGCTTGTCGGTTAGCTGTCGCTACGCTAACGGGGGGGGAAGGGTCACAGATTTGATGTAAATTAATTGTATAAAAAAACGATCCAGAGGACCAGGGTGGCGTGGAGGAGCACTGTTGATCGGTGCTTCATGTATATAAACACTGACTGTTCTTTGAGTTACAAAAGTGAAAGATGTATGAAATATGAAAGCAATTCAATCAAATTTGACTCTACCTAAGTTTGATTCAGGATATTCTCTGCGTTTGTCTCCGCAGATATTTTCTTTCTGTAATTAGAACGTGTAGCAGACAATGACTGACGTCTTTTTCTTTCTTTTACAAATAAAGAGCAGCTTCCACAAACTGTTGTACAGTATTTGTATTTCTTTATTCAAGGTGAATGTTACATCTATTGAATTTTAACTGCAAACATGATACATTATGAACCTGGAAATTATTTTTGGTTTGGTCTGGTAACTTTATACGACATTTTATACACCATTAAGATTTACAGTAGACTGTTACTCGTTTAAGATACTGTAACTACATGGTACTGCATGTAGTGCACTGGTTTTCAACCTGGCTTTCGGCATGGCTTGGGCGCCCTAGATCAAAAATGAGCTGTTGGGTCCCACCTCACCCCCCTCTCAGTGTACTCTGAACATTTTCACTGAATACTGCATGGTTCCTGGTTTGTTGTGGTGATTAAATACAACGTAATTCAGGAAACGGAACCTTGTCAAACGGCTGAAATAACTCAAGACACAACCTACTTACGGGATCTCACAACTGCTCTTTTAACCAATTGCACAATCAGCCAGCAGCATAATTCATGTTTGACTCATCCAGGAGATAAATGCATCTCTTAAGAAGACTTTAGAGACTTTTAGGATTCCCCAGCTTCAGCCACAGCCTGGTTTCCAGCTGGCTTTGTTTGTCTTCTCTCTGGGCTGACCATCAACAAACCAGAAGCCTGTTGTTAAAAGCATGGAGCTGCCCTGAGGGTCACATCAGGCTCACACTGGGGATATGACATCGCCGGTACACTCCAAACCAATTTAAGGGCTTCAAACGTCGTCTTATTTGTATTGCGACCATGTTATTGCTGTTTGAAATACATCAGGTTCCTCTGGCCCGCCTGTGTCCACACCCTTTTGTCAAACACACACTGATGATGTCAACCTAGACATTAAGACTTCAATGTGTGGAAACTGAGGACACCTGCTGGATGCCAGCTGCCATTACGGCACAGATGACACCTCCGTGAAACAAGAACTCCCCCCACACACACACACACACACACACACACACACACACACACACAGAGGCCATCCCTCTCTCCTCAGCTCTTGACCGGGGAGTCCGGCACAATCCAGCAGCAGCAGCAGATCTTTGGAGGAGGCAAACACTTCCACACCTGCTTCCTTTGTTAACACATCAGGATGGGAGTTACTGGAGCAGTTTGTGACGAGCCTGCAGGCCTCCTGTAAGGTAGGCGACACACTCTGACTTATTCAAGGAAAACTTCAGTTATTTTATTATTTTGTTTTACAAACGTTTGCATAAAGTATTTGATAAATAGAGAAATAAACACAACATGTTATCGGTCGCCTGATATATCTATTTCTAACCGTTACTTTTGACAATGCATTGCTAACACCTCTATAATAAGATGTCTAACTAATATATATAGCCTATAATTTAAGGTAGAGATTTCAAATTTAACTCTAAGAAACATTATCAATCCAAAATCTATTTAGTTTGCCAAACAGAGAAAACAACTTGTAAATATGGATACATAAAAATCATTACATTACATACCGGAATGGTAGAGACAGTGTGCGGGAGTGCTTCTCTTCATTGATTTGGACAAGAAAACATTTCCAGCAGTGTCCTGCAGCTTCTTCACTTTTTTTTTCGAAATCTGCAGCTGCGCAAAAACATGTAGTACCTAGACATAGTATCAGTTTACAAGTATTTAAGAAGTACTTTATAACAAAGTCAAAGTAGAAATGCCAGTTTGGCATGACAGTCAGTGAGTGTGTCTATAGAGCGCTTACGTGATGTGTCAACAAAGAGTTCCTTAAATAAACATGTAAAAGGAGCACACGAGATACATTTATGGTGTAGAAGTAGTGATGTACCTAAAGTATCAAAAGTGATTTGGGTAGTTGACAATAATTCCCTCTGAAATGTAGTGAAGTAGAAGTATAATGATAAACAAAACTGATATTGCCTACTCAAGTAAAGTACCTCAAAAATTGTACTTGTACTACAGTGATTAACAGGTCACTTTACATTTAATAAGCGGTATTGTTGGAACGGCTTCAAGTGTTGCAGATGTCTCTATTGAAATAGAGCTAATTGGAGTCACTGCATTCTCCATCAATTAGAGGCCTGTTGTATGGAAGTCACTGTAGTGGTTGTGTAAGAATGGCATGCTGTGGTTTTGGTCACTTGTTTTTTTTAAGAAACAACTCACCAAACAACAGCTAAAGACTGTCTGTCATGTAATTCATACCTTTATGATTCATGTACATTCATATTTTCTGGGCATTAACAAGGTTTTAAAATATTGGAACAAAGACACAACTTTTTAAGATGTGACAGTGGGAATTTGTTGCCACGCGATGTGCCTGACAGTGACAGACCCAGCTGGTTGCTCCCCGCTTGCTCAGCGTTTCCACACCTGCAGGCGGAGAGAAGCAGGAGGAGGAGGAGCCATGATCGACCTGAGCTACCTGACGGAGGATGAGCAAGGGGCGATAATGACGGTGCTGAGGAGGGACGCCGATCTGAAGAAGGCCGAGGAGGAGAGAATCAGGTAGGAAACAAATCAGGCGAAAGAAATCCGCATCGGACGTTGTTTTTACATGAGCAGAAATGTTTTGACCAGCATTTAAGCTAATGTCATGTTATGCAGCTAATGTAATTTTAATGATTAAATAAGTAGTCCTTCCATCGCCTGTTTTGTGAGAAGAGGCCTTTGTGGGACAGTCAAAATAATACTCGTCTGGCTATAATGGAATAACACAATAACAGCTTGGCCGGATACGTCGCTGAGAGGGGCAAATTAGATTAAAGCCAAGATGAAGTCCACACATGGGAGAGGGCCATGCTGCCCTGACGGACAAGAATAGAAACACTTAAAGGCCTCAGTGATGAGAGACACCTCAACTGTGAAGAGCGTGATGCCTCATACTGCCTCCTTTCAGAAACACGTTTAAAATCAGCAGTTAAGCTCTCCATTGAACCTGTGGGAGGGGTCAAACATTCCTCTCAGTGTATATTTAAGGCTTGTTGAGACAAACAAAAGGCCCAGTATCTTTTCTGATCCCTCCCACGTGCAGAAATTGAAGTAGAAGCTTCTATATCCCGAATAAAAATGCAGTCATGCATGTAAACTATAAGAAAAAAAAAGTCTTAGTTATTTTTGAAGATGTGTTTTGTTACATTAACTTGAGTCAAGAATACAATGACACAATGTGCTTTTCATTGGGAGTTTAACAGAGTTGGCCGGCCAACTTTATTTCTTTTATCAGCGGGAGGCTGAATGCTCGCTGTGTCTTTGCCGGTCTGGTGTAAAAGGATTAAGCCAGCAGCCTGTAATAATGCGCTACCCTTTATTCACATGACCGCGGTGTTTCTCCATCAAGACGAAAGATGAGTTGGAGCGGACATTTCTCTTTGATTCAATTTGAACTTGATGGGAATGTTTTTCCGAATTCTTTCCTTTAGATAGATCATGTGCAACTGTAATTGCAGTGAAGTGGAGTAAACATTTTACCACCTTAAACTGAGTTCATAAAGTGCCTCAGGAGATTAAAAAAAAAGCAGTACCTGATTAAAAACATTTGTTGGGAAATGCCACCCAACTAGGATTAACATATTGCATAAACAGACAATGAATGACTGTAGAGAAAAACCTCTTGACTTAAGCATTTTCCCCTTTGTGTTTCCCCTCCAGGAAACTGGAGAGAATACCTGACAGCAGGTCGCAGTTTGACACCGAGCTGAAGTACCGAACTGGAGAGTGGTTTTATGAGGCCAAGTCTCACAGACACATGGACAAGATCCACGGCTCGGAGATCATCCTGGCCTCCATGAAACCGAGGAAGGCTGGTTTAGGTGTGTTCCTTCTACACTGTTGACAAAGGGCTTGTTTTAAAGCACATGTTATAGCTTTTGAACCTGTTATCCAGCAGCAGGTTGTATCTTCAGAGGTGTTTTCACAATCCCTCCAGTGTCTTCTGTCTGCCTTGAAGGATAAAATGTTTCCCCACGGTGAAACCAAAGTTTAAATCCAACCTTTTCTATGCCGACTACGCCGCTAGTTAGTAAAAGCATTGGATCTAAATGTTGGTTTTGCCGCGAGCAAAAATGTATACTTCTGTGCAGATTGTTGACATCTGTGGGATCACAAAAACACTTTGGAGGACAACTTGTGAAAATAGAAACGTTTAGATTTTCCCTCGGAGGTTTGCTTAGGAAGTAACAGAGAGCTGGGGTCAAAATATGGGCTAGGAAAGAACTCAACCTAAACATCTGCCCTAAATCAACATAATGCATCAGTTCATTTTAAAACAGAATATTTAGATTGTTGTTATTCATAAGCTGCTGTAAACACAGCTCCTTTCTGTTGCAGATGGTTCTCTCCGAATTGAAAGATCCGAGACGGCCAGCAGTCGAGGTTCAGACATCGCCGCTCCACCAAAACCAGCCGCTCCACCAAAACCAGCCGCTCCACCAAAACCAGCCGCTCCACCAAAACCAGCCAGATGTTTGGAAGCACTACAACCACAGGAGATCAAGTACACACTCCTTTCTTATTCATAGATTTACCGATCTGTCCGTCTTTAACCTCTTAATTCATTCTCTTCAGATTCCATTAAATAACTTGATCAATTTGAAACACTGGAACAGCATCTCTTTCTTCTCACTTTTTCAGTGTATACAGTATTTGTGTGTGTGTGAGTGTGTGTGAGTGTGTGTGTGTGTCTGTGTGTCTTGTGACTCAGCCTGTGCAAACATAGGTGGTGCTTACAGGGAATATGTCTGTTTTATAGCCCAGCAGCAGCTACTGCTCACAACACTGCTGGATGTGGTTTGACATATTAAGGGATTAACTCAGTAGAGCTCTCAGCATAATGACACTGAATGAGAGGTGGCTGTTTATGTTGCTGTGGTTGTTATTTCTCAAACAATCAGGATGTTCCCATCCCGTTGCCAGGAGTTTTTCTTTTGTCAAAGTAACAGATTATTACGACGAATACTTTTACAGTGTGCAACTTACTCCAGCGGAGGATCATTCGTATTCGACATGTTTCCATTAGAAGTTGGGTCAATATTTGATTTTGCCAAGCAGTACCTCGAGCAGAGGGATACACATTTCCTAAACACACAGTACACTCAGGAATGCAGTTGCCTGAACTCTCTGTTTGTAGCCTGATAGTTCTACTGTCTTTGCAGTGTAATTCCTGTGTTTCATCACATGCATTTCTAAATGCAATCAATCAATTACTCAAAGATTTGCTTTGCTTTTTCACAAATCCTCTTATTCAGCTACAAATTGCCGGATCTTATCGAATGCTCTCTTACTTTCTGTTGATATTCCGGTTGATTAGGTTGGGCGATTAGGTTGGGTAGAGTTCTTTCTCTTTGATACCAGCGTTATTTACGAGTCAGCAAGCTCCAGTCATGCACATTACAGTTTACTTTTGAGAAAGAAAAACATTTGCTGCTGAGATGATTTTCAGCAGGCACATCAAGTTACACTGCACTTCATCTAATCATGCTTTATAGTGCTTGTATTTCCTTTTTCACCTTTTCTAACTTCATATTTTAATTGTTTTTTTCCCACAGCGATGCAGAAAAAGAGAATCTGAATTCAGCGGCCCGCTCTCCAAGAACGGTATGTGTTACAAAACAGATCAGCCTTTTTCCGTGACCGTTTTCCTTTCTTTGTCGCAACCTTGTCACAATCATATTGCAAATATTGTATTGTCAAACATTAATTCTAGTAATTTTCCTTTAAGCCAAGGCACAACCCTTTCAACCGCGCTTCCCTTATTGTTGTTGAGCCACCTGAAAATAATGATGACATGTCAACCAGCCGGGACCAGGAGTCATCTGAGACAGGTTTGAGCTGAAACAAACAAAAATCAATGTGCAAAGCATTAGCAGAGCAATATCGAGGCGATACTCTAGACTGAGCCTTTCTTCCGTTGTTTGCCTCAGAGCCCATATCTCCACTGAAGAGTCCCCCAGCACAGAGCAGTCAGACTTCAGGGGTCTCCCTCACATCAGAGGGCTCTTCTGTCGGTTACAGGCCGGTGCCAAAGAAGAGGACATTTAACTCAAGACGTACCTCCAGTCAGTCAGAGAGCAACAGCGTGGCGTTAGACGCTCTGGGAGAGACAGCGGGGATTGCTCCCAGCCCAAGACGGAGCCTCCAGCGGGGGTCCAGTGAGAACTTTAACCAGTCCTACCTGAAGGGCCAAGATGAAATACCGCAGAAAAGTGTTGTTTCTTATCAAGTATCTCATTCAGCTCAACCATCCAAACCTCTGGATGAAAACTCCCAGCAGCGACTCTGGGATGTATCTCAGCTTTCGTCTAATTACAGTCTGAAGAGAGAAAGAAACCCACCTTTGATAACAAGAGACAGGTCAGTAGACGATTCCTCCAACAACTCTGACCCCAACATTTTAATTAAGCTCTCTCTTCTTTCCACTGCAACTCACAACCTGCATAATTTCAGACTTGCCACATACACCAGGAGTGATGCATCCACTGACAAAGAGATCCCACAGAAGAACATTGAACGAGATGAAGATGTCGTTCTGCACACAGGCAGGATTCAGGACTCAGACCATGAAAACATTAGCAGTGTGGGAACAGCAATGAGACCGGGAGATCTGAGTCTGCCCCAAAGCACTGTGGGTGAGTTCAGTTACAAAGAATAACTCTACTTGCTGTAGTTAAAAGTACTTCTGAACTAGTCATCGAATTTCAACCGAGGCAATAGTTCCTATAGTTTGGTTTTAAAGTACAACTTCACAGTGCAGCTAGCATGGCTGACTCTTAGTCTGGTTAATAAAAACAGTGGGCCCATGGGAGGTAAGGCAAACCTGCTGCAGCACAGACAACCTTAGCTTTCTGACTACATTAAGATGTATTTCATTATTTTATATACCTTTCTTTTCAGATCAAGATCCCCCAGTGTCTTATGATCTCAACTTCATTGATAAGTCTGATCAGCTAGCTCAGAAGAATCAAAAAAATGCATTTCAATTATCCACTCAGGCCACCAGTCCCACTGGTGATGAGGACTCCATCGCGAAGGTACTGGACTGGTTTAGCCGCAGCACAGACAGCCTCGATTGGACAGAGACAGAAGATGGTCCAAAGGCCACGCAGAGCTCTGATAAACAGACAGAAATCAGTAAATCAAGAGGTGAAGGTTCACTTAGAAAAGATGCCGGGGATATTATAAGTGACAGAAAGAAAGAAACTCTTCAAATGAGAAGAAATCCCTTACAAAGACAGTCCAGTGAGGCTAAAGAGTTAAGAGCAACAGACAGAGACACACAAGAAACCCAAGAAGAGGTGGAGAAGAATACCAGAGAAAGAATTCGGTCACAGGAAGTTGAAGATAATAACGATGAAAGACAACCCTCCCAAATCGCTCATCTGAAGTCATTCTGGGAGAAAAGCAACATGGGACATAAAATAATTATCAGCAAAGGACAAAAACCTGGTCATGTCTCAGCGGAAAAAGACAAGGACAAAGTAAACAAACCACACATAGCGCCTGATATGCCCACTGTGCCTGGAATTTACAACGTAATGGGAATCTATGATCAGTCAGCTTCAAATCCTGGGGATGCAAGAGAACAACAGAAAGATACTGGACCCAGTCTGGTGATCAATACTTCAACTCAGAGGAACAACAATGACTCAACATACAACTCAGATTTTTTAAAGTTAGCAGCCACTCCACAAGTAGCTGACAGAAGAGATTCAGACACTGAGATTTTATCTGTAAACAGAATTAGTCCACAGCCAAAGACACCCATCCAGTCCGGTGCACAACCTGACAGTATTTTCCGATCTAGAGAAACCTCACTGCAAGACGAACTGTTAAAGACTAATCCTGTGTCTCACCGGGATACAGATCCAGACTCTGAGAAGCTCCATTTGTCCAGAAACAGCCCATATACGAACGACAAGCAAGGTGATAAGCAAATCACCTCTAAAACACAAATGCGTAGAGGTTCAAGTGAAGAAGTACAGACGAGGGATAGTGAGGATAAAAGTATGCAATCAAGCATGTCTCCTAAACGAAAGGAGGATACGTCTAACAAAGACAGAATTAACAGCCCGCACGCCAACAGACAAGGTCAACCACATCAAGAAAGTACTGCAGAGAAGATAAAGCAGCTCATGTCTTTCTGGGAGCAGGAGTGGCAAAAGCCTCCATTTTGCACTGGCAAAGCTAAACTTCTTGGTGATGGTAAAGTTATTCGTGGTGCAAATCAATCAACACTGAATAAAAGATTTACAAAGTCGGAGTACGATCTGACACCGATTGGGAATGATTCAGTCATCGATGACGGACACTCTGATAGGAATTACCACAATCTTACTGTTCTTCCTTTGAATCAGACAATAGACAAGTTGTCCCCTACCCTACACACAAGCCGAACACAATTTAGTACTCTGCGTGAGTTCTGGGGCAAGACCAAGGCAGATACCAAGGGATCATCTCCCTTCGACAAACCCAAGAGCCCCAAAAAGAAAGAACCAATAAGTTCCCAGCTTTCATTTCAGGAGTTAAAGTGCGGTGACGCGGACAATTACTGCGTATCAGAGAAACCAAAACCTGCTGCCATGAAATCATTTCCCCCTCTTCAGAATCGATCAAAGTCACCTCACGATAGACAGCCAGGGTCAGCGAATGATGGCAAAAACAACCTGTCCAATTATGCGACAGCAGAGTCCAAAAGGAGCTCAAAAGATGCTAATAGAGAGGAGAAACCACCTAAATCCCCGATCAGATCAGGAAAAGAGATTCGCTCTCCAAAGAGCAGAAAAGACAGCTTTGACACATCGAGCAGTCGTGCGAATTCCATGCGTCGCGCCATTAGCATGTTTTCTCTGAGTTATCCGGATGAAAAAGAGCTTAAAATGGATGTACGCCCCATCCACTCCCAGAGCAGAAAGCAGAGGCAGAACACCGAAAAAGATGCCTCACCAAGAAGATCACCTGAGGACACTGAGACTCTGACTCCACGTGCACGGGCATATGTTCCCACAGACTACCGGCATTACCTGGGCATGACGGACGAGACCAGCGAGCACACCTCTCTCGCCCCGGCTGTGAAGGACGACTGGTCAGAAGGAAAGTCTAGGTATGAGTTTGATCTGGCTGGGCCGGTGAGGACCAGCACTCCGGTGACCTTAGAGGAGAGTTACAGCAGAGGGGGCGGCAAGACGAGTCAGCGCCCCCTGTCGACAAGCTACAGCAGTTCAGACGCAGATCAGGAATCATCTGTGAGCAGCACGTCACAAACCTGGTCCAACTGGAGGAGTTCAAACCGTAAGCACCAACTTCACTTTTTTTTATAAACAGGGCGATACGCAGTGGTGGCGCCAGAGATTTTATTTTGCTAGTGCTATGGGGTTGCTCGAATTATGAGGGTGCTTTGAAATTTAGTTTTTTTCCTAAATGTGCCGGTTGCCACAGTTTAATTCCTACGTGAACACCCCTGACACACTACAAATACCCAGTCGCAGCAATTCTTTGTTAAACACAAGGCGGGATATTCAGCTCAAGGGATGCAGATGTAATGTTCACAAGCCTGCCCACACACCACATTATAACTATTTTTACACAATCATGTCACAGACATTGCATTGTGCGGCATCTGGATTCTCACGATGTCACACTAGAATCTTAGAATCACATATCACACGAAAATCCATCTTGTCAGGCTTCAAGTAATGCGTTTGTGTCCAGCAAGACAGTGTCTGGATTGAATCGGCAGTGTTTCATTCCATAGTTATACGAATGAGCATCGCGGTGTTTGTGTCGCGACCAACCGTGGTATTAAACGAGAGACAGAGAGAGAGAGAACAAAATAAGTCAATGTTATATCGATAGATATAAACTTTACAATGATGTTTTACAATGTAAATAAAAATATATATTTAAAAAATAATATAAGACTACCGCGCAGAACCACGAAACAAGAAGGTTCCTATAAAAAAGCAAAAAGAATGTTCCTTGAAATTAATAGAAAATGTTACATAAGTGGCAGAAATTTGAATGTATATTTAAGTGAAAGAACCTTTAATATTTTTTAAAGGTTTTTCTAAACTGTTTCCAATCAGTTAAGCTGTTTCATTTATTATTTATCAAGAATCAAGACGCTGCGTATTACAATACAGACATAGAATTAAATTAAGTTTCTAAATCAGAATAAAACACAATTCACAAAGCAGGTATTAAATGTTGAGATCAAAACAAGTTTAAGTCAAGAATGAACACACATGTACAGCTCCTATATAGTTAACATCTAACAGAAATTTACATTTGCATTTTCTCAGTTTTATGAAATTTCATATATACATAATTCTAACAATGTCTTGAATAAGCTGTTTTGAAGTGAACTGAAGTAGTTTTATCCAGCAGTATCCTTGAGATCATGTCCGTGTCGAGTTGTCTTTGTTGGCAGAAGCAAATCTCTGAATACACAGTGTGCCTGCAGTTAGCTGCCCATGTTTAATTTGTGGGATGGGCAATATGTTCCTCTCACTTCACTGACACAGATTAAAAACAAAAAAAATTCACAAACTGACAACTCAAGCAGCTTCATGTCAGCTTTCTTTCACAGTAGTTTTAAAAGTTTTGAGGCAGGGACTGTACCTATATCCTTCAGACAACATCAGTTTTCCACTGTCATCGAACTGCACATTTGATATTATTTGGCTATTATGCACAACATTTCATGTTACCAAATGTCCAGACATTTTTACCAGAGGAATCAAATCAAATCAAAACATTTGCAGGTAATGCAAACACGAATTAGAAACGTATTTAACAACACACACTTTATAGTATAAAAGTACCATTCATCATCTGCATTATCCTCCAGTTCCTACCCTTGCTGCTAGGACTACCTTGACTTCTCACAGTTGTACATTCATGAACATCATTTTACAGAGTTTACTACAAATATTTAGATTTTGCGTGTATTAATTAGCTGCAATGATTAGCAGATTAATCAATCAAATGAAAATGAATCTGCAATTGTAAGTTATTTTTCTGCAGAAATGCCAAACGTTGCTGGTTCCAGGTTCTCAATCACTGGTCTGTGAGGAATTTATAGACAAACAAGTTATGTGAGCAATAAATTTGCTTTAGTAAAATAATGTAAAGCTGAAAATACCAACTCGTTACTCAGATTTTTACGAATGATAACTTTAAACAAAGACTCATCAACCCATTTGAGCATGAGAAACTGCCCATACTGTGAGCCTGTCAGTTGATTTTTCTCTCCAATACATACTGTAGGTGAGAATGATGTCTACATTCAAAACCTCGTAAGGAAAGCATTGCTGAGAGCAGAAGTAAGGCCTAAAAATCTGACTAAAAGTATGGAGGACATCACCGCATCTTTATCACCACGTGAGCATGTCCTCCAAGTCAGATTGTTCATATATACGCAGATCATTTTGGGGGATTGTGGTTTCTTTGGTTTGTTTTTCACAGGACAAGAAACCAGACAAGAACCAGCTGCTGACATGAGACGCATTCGTGATGGTAAAACAAATGCCTGATCTTTTCCATTACGGACATGTTTGCAAGCAAATTAGTAAAGATTTGAATCTGTCTGCTTCCCAATCAACCACTCTTTAGTTTCATCCATCCCGTCGCCGTCACCGCCCCTATTTTCGGATCCGGAGCACCTGAAGAAGATGAGCAAATCGGTTCCTTCGTTTTTAGAGAAGGAGGTAAAACCACCCTCTGCATGTTTTAGTCCAGTAGGTCAAAGTCTGCTCTGCATCCCTGAGCACAAAGCTTTCTGTGCCTGCTGTCTGTGTTTCAGGACGGTGGCAGAAACACTGACTCCACCTGCGAGGACAATGACCGAACAGGAAGACTAATGACGGGCAGCTCTTTGAATAACCTCAGCAGCTCCTCTGGCATGTCGTCTTTGTCTTATGTATGTTCACACTAATGCATGAGCATGTTTAACACTGCTCTCTTAAACTGCACTGATCGTTGGCTTTTAAAATTAAATTGTGTTTGTCAGATATTGACATTTACCTACTTATTTGTCTGTTTGTCTGTTAGGTGTGGTTTCACATGTTTTGCCCTTTAAAACAATGGGCTTCCTGTCCCCAACAGACTCGTGGTTGGCACCAGATGGTCAGGCACAACCATAAAAAAAAGATTACTCCACAGTACTCCACCTATTTGGCATTGCACTCATATAGCATTGTCTGTGACACAATGTTGAGTTGATAGTTAGAAAAAAAAAAAGGGATAAATATCGATGCAGAAGAAATATTATCTTTTTTTATGCTCATTGCTCGTCCTTGACAAAACCTGGTGCCTACATTGCCCACAAGACAACTCGGCTGCTGACAGTTTGTTCGAGGTTTTGGAAGTGTTGTGCTAGTGGCAGCTCATGTTCCCTCAAGGGGGTCAGCTCATTGTTCCCTCAGCATCATCCTTGGCCCATGTTAAAATCTATATACTTCTTTAGACAATACTCGCTTAGACAGACAGTGTGGCTAGAACTCTTTGCCTTTGTTGGTCAGGTTTAGGCATGACAAGTGGTGAGCCAATCAGAGGCAGAGGTGGGCAGGTCATGCCTTTGCCATAGAAGAGAAGAAACAATTGCTACTTAGCCATGTGCTTATGTTTTGGAGCAATGGACCTTCAAAATAAAGGCTGTTGCTTGGGCTTTTGGTCCAATGGGACATTTCTTTGACTGTCGAGGCTTTGAAATAACGGGCCGTTGGGACAATTGCATGGCATCAGCGGAGGTACTGATCTGAGGAAACGTAGACAAACTCCTGCCTCAAGCTTCTAGACTCAAGCAGAAAAGAGGAGCGGTCTACAGAAACCCTTCATTTGTTTTCATTTTTAAACTTGAAGCCTTTAGTCCAAACCAACGCCGTCTCAAGTGACATGATTTGAGGCAATCAAATTTCACACAGGCTTCATACAACTTATTTCATATATTTAGTAGGTTTTCCCTAAGATGTTGAAAATCGGTGGAGTTCCCCTCTGAAGTGGAACCAATTAGCTCTGTCCTTGACTTTTATCTCCAGGAGATTTCCAAAAAGCCCAAACCACAAATCATCCAATAAATAAAATGATTAAAGATATGAATGATGATGTAAAATGTTTGCCTACTTGCTTGTGTGTGCTCCTAGATGAGTGGAAGTGTGATGACCATGAACAGCGGCGATTTTGGGAATGTGGAGGTTCAGGGAAATATCCAGTTCTCCATCAACTACATCCAGAAGCTCAAACAGTTTCACATCTTTGTGACTGAGTGCCAACACCTGGCAGCAGTCGACCCAAAGAGGGGCCGCTCTGATCCGTGAGTACTGTACTTGAAATATTCTATCATCCTATTTCTATACTGTATGTACTGTTTATTATCTGCTAAGTAAAATGAATGACTGTTAAGTTGAAGTTGAAGAGTCACAGGCGAACACTGTTTTTGCCTCTGCCACATGTGCCAGCAGAATGGCAAACAAGGCAGGAAAAATAGTTATTTAATGTGGCTTATAGTGGCTGAATTCAAATGAAAAAGATATTGTAGTGTCTCTACCAACAAGCAAACTGTATAAAAAGATGAATGATGAAAGATCTCTGCCACCTGTTATTTGATCATCAACTGGTAGAGATTAAATGCTACATCAGAACTCCACTTAAACGGGTTTCCACTGAGTTGCCACGACACATAACAAGCCATTGAAATTTGTCTCTGGTGATTTTCCCTTTTATTTCAGCATTTAGATCATCATCACCTTGTTTATCATTATTTTATTTATTTTATTTTACTGATAACTTAAGCTAATATGAGTTTGATCAAAAACTTGGATAATGCGTGTACATATCTGTTTCTATGGAAGCATTAGGGCCGAAACATATATGATATTTAAATGCACAACACGCTATTTGTAAAAATAAACACTATGATACTACTAATATATAAATATTTAATGTTTTCAATCACTCTCTATGCTTTAAAAACTGGACGCACTGCAAAAGAAGGGTGAACTTTCAATGCCTTTTTCTACGATGTGTAAAGGATATACTACTACAGTATAACTAAAAATGCGTACAATTTTCTGGCACGCGAGTCAGAATGTACATTTTGTCCGCTAACTTTGACTAGATTTACTTTCATATTTATATACTGAGGGTGTATCTTTTCGCTTTTGAAGGTATGTCAAAAGCAACCTGGTTCCTGACAAAGCTAATCTGGGAAAGAGGAAAACATCTGTGAAAAAGAAGACACGAAATCCAACTTTCAACGAGCTCCTCCGAGTAAGAATCCACAGACATAATGCTGATCGTACTAAACAAACAAAGGCACTTTCCCACACTGCGATGCCAAATATTTGGCATGCATGACAATCAACAAACAAAAGCACCTTGCTCTTCCCTGTCCTTACAGTATCGTGTTCACATGGAGTACCTCAGAACCCAGACGCTCATTCTCTCTGTTTGGCATCACGACACCTTTGGCAGGAACAGTTTCCTGGGCGAGGTAGACGTGGACCTCTCCAAGTGGGACTTTGACCACACCCAGATGAACTACTTAGCCCTGAAAGCAAGGGTAAGAAGAAGAAAAACACGCCCACAGGCTGGCTTTATCCACAGCAGTTGTTTTCTCATCAAATAACAGCGGATTATCTAACAATGTCGCCTCCCCAGAGTCTATTTGAGCTTGTGATATCACATGCAGTTGTACTGTATAACCTGTGCACAAAGGAATTTGGGATCTACTGTTTATGTGTATTTTATACTCTGTCAAATGTTTCAGACCACACCAACTCTGGTGCCATCACATGGTCAAGGAGAGATGAGACTAGCCATACGTTTCCTGCCAGAGATCATCCACAGTGATGGTCTGCACACGCTTTCATTCTGTTATTTAAAACCAGGCTTCGTTTCTTGATGTGCATTTTAGTAAACCGCAATCCCACCCATTGTATAGAAAAGGTTCTTTGAATATTTTTGTATATATTTTGTCATTTATTTTTCTAAGGATTTATTAAGGAGAGTCCAAACACCGGAGAAGTTCACATTTGGGTGAAAGCCTGCAATAACTTGCCTCCAATCAGGGCCACCATCGACACATATGTTAAGTGGTATGCATATTACATTCATATTAAGTTAAAGATATCGGTTGGCTTTCTGGGAAATACTCTGATTTGATTTCTTGCCGAGAGTTAGATGAGAAGAATGATACCACTCAAGTTTGTCTTTTAAACATGAAACTAAAGGCAGCTGCAAGTTAGCTTAGCTTAGCATAAAGACTGGAAACGGGGGGAAACGGCTCTGTCCAAAGGTAAAGAAATCTCCAACCAGCACCTCTAAAGCTCACTAATTAACATGTTATATCTTGTTTGTTTAATATGTACAAAAACTGTAGCCAGGCTGTGACCAGTTGCAGTGATATCTTGATGTCTCCACTGAACTCCGTCTAAAACAAGTTTTACACAAAATAATTCGTAAGCTTTAGAGGTGCATTTTGTTGAGCCACCGTTTCCCCCTGTTCCACCTCCTCATGCTAAGCTAAGCTAACCCTTTCCCAGCTGTGACGTTAACTTCATATTGAATGTACAGGTGTAAGATCAGTACCGATATTCTCATTTAACTCTCAGCCAGAGGGAGATTAGGTACTCTCCCAAAAGGACTCCATCATCAGTTAAACTTTTCTGCTGTAGCGGTGAAAATAACTCTTCTTCCCCCTCATCCCAAGCTCTGTGCTGCCGGACACGAGCAGGAAGAGTCGCCAGCACACGCGCGTGGTGCGGAGGACAGTACACCCAGTGTATAACCACACGATGGTGTACGACGGCATCAGACAGGCCGATCTATCAGAAGCCTGCGTGGAGCTCACTGTCTGGGACCAAGACAGGCTGGCCAGCAACATGCTGGGGGGCCTGAGGCTTGGAGTTGGAAAAGGTACTGGTCAAAATAAACAAACTGAACAAATCTGACTCGTGTAAAAGAAGTGATCTTCAGCTGGAGCATCGCTTTTTTTTTATAGATATATCAACTCAAAAACCATACTTTCTGGAGCAAATGTGGTGCAATTGCTGTGATATGAAAAACTATACAGTATATGAATGAAATTATATTTATTTTTGAGGCTTTTCTCTAGCTTTATTCGTTAAAATATTGGATAATTTGACCTCTTTGGGCCTTAAATACCAACTTAAATGAAGCCACCTGAGGGTTGCTTGTGTTTTTAATTTTGTGTCTCTTTTGTCTCTCCGTAGGACAAAGTTACGGAGTACTGGTGGACTGGATGGACTCAACTCCTTATGAGGCGGCCCTGTGGGAGCGCATGATGGCCACCACAAACGAATGGGTGGAGGACGTACTCCCATTAAGAGTGCTGAACTCTGCAAAAACTGGTTTCAAATAACTAAAACTAGTGCAAACACAGTATAAAAACACCGTTAATTAATAGTTTTAAAGATTTAAATTCAGTCAGGAAAAGCTGTCTAAGTATTTCAAATATCTGCCTCTCATTGTGCTTGCTTTTAGTGACAATAATATCACAGACAAAAAGAAGCCTTGAGGCACACTGGAAAATGTAATCAAGAAACCATACATCAATCGAAGTACAATAAACCTCAAATAAAAACATGACTCACACATAGGTAACATACAACAAATACCAGGCAAGTCTGGCTGAACATCTGTTGATAGGCTTTAATTAATATGCACACAAGGACACAAGGTTACACCCACAGTTGTACCAGGATCTAGATGTATATCCTACATGCAGTATGTCTAAATGTCCACTATTTTGATAATTGAGTTGCTCCCAATGTGCAATACACCTGTATACACCCTAAATATCTCATTAGCCAAATTATCAAGGTTGTTAAGTAAGGCTAATACTAACAGATATGAGATAACTGTTGCACGTAATCATATTAAAAACAAGTGGGATTAAAGGAATTAAATGCAGAAGTCCATTTTTTTTTAATCATTTGGCATAATGATGATAAAAGTCAAGGGTAGCATAGAGCATAAGATTGTTTGAATAACAATTTCTTCAATGGTGATGAAAGAGTATCACAACATAATAGTCCTGTCCAGTTTCCCCGTGACTTGTTTTTGTTATGTCTCCAACTTAGTTAAGATTATAGACGATAAAGAGCGTCTCAGAGAGGGAATAAAGAGATTCCAGACAGAGAAACAAATAGTTAAGATGACATACGACGACCAGAGGACTGCTGTTGCAGCTCGGGGATGATGTACCTGTGTGAGAGAGGAAGACGAGAAGAATCAAGACGTTTCAGGTTATGATGCTGCATGTTTCTACTATTAAATGTTGCATATTTGAATTAGAGCTGTTGACTGTGTAAGTTATCCAAACAAGACAACTTCGTAGAACTAGTCGTCACACTTCACCGTCACAGCCGTACAGACACACAGATATATAAAATGAAATTAACCATGCAAATGTACATATTTTAAGGTGATATTGTTCACTTTTCCACTTTTGTGTCAAAAGGAGAACATTTGTGACATTAAATAATATTGTAAGAGGACTTTGAGTGGAGAAATAAGCTCAACTTTCCAGCAGACATCAAAAGTCATAAAAGTGGTCATGGAAAGTTTGGACATCTACAGCTTCATGACAACTAAGCCAACTTAATTAGTTAATTTTGGGAAACCAGCTCAAAATCAAGTAAATATCCACAAAACTGAGCAAAAGACGTTTTAGTGATGAAGCATTACTTAAGAGTGTGAAGTGACTGTTGTTAGTTGACTCACAGGCATACAGCCGTTGCACGAGGACACCTCACAGAGCCTGTAGCAGTGCAAGTAGAAAGTGGAAACTGACTGATATGCTCCAAATCTGAAGGCCTCAAAGGAGAAGTGTGCCCTCTGAGACTCCCCATTGAGATCCACCTTTGTTTGTGTGTCACGTTCACACCTTGGGTGAAAAGGAGAAAGGTAATGTGACTACACACGTGGATAAAATATAAAGAGGTAGCTCGGAGTTGAGTGTCAAATTAAAGAAGACCCACCCTACAAAGAGGTCATAATAGGTGTTGAGGAAGGGATATGGCTGTGTTGATGTGCATTAGTCTCGCATGTATTGGTTTGTGAAAAAGCTATACCGATTCATCCTGAAGGTATCATACCAACGTCTATGGTTGTCACGAACAAATACAACTTTATTTAAAACATTTATATCAATATTTGAGCTGTCCAGCCACAATTTTTAGTTGGTGTCAGGCTATAAATATGTATATTCCTGCTGTAAAGTTGGGCATTTTAACATGGGGGTCTATAAAGGTTCACTTGCTTATTGAGCCAGCTTCAAGTGACCATTTGAGGAACACAACCTTGTCTATATACAACAGTGCAGTATATAAAAGGTATTAGCCATACCAATTAAATATTTTAATGTATTTCAAAGTCTTAAAAACCGGAAAAGGAGTTCAGCAAAAACTGTTGGTTGAATCTGTGTAATCTACATGCATCCAGTCACAATTTCTTCAAGTTTAGTTTAATGATGTATTATCAAAGAATAAAGCACGAGAACTTTCTTCATCATTCTTATTGAAAACATTTTAAAAATACACCAACTCTAACTGATTACAAAAGAAAAGATACCATTATTTATTAAATATTTCAATATGACTCTGACAACATGCATAAAACTAACACGTAATTATAATACACCATTATAGTACAGCCTCTGTGCCCTTATCTCCACATGAATACACTAAGTGATTGGTAATGATTGTAAGATTATTAAGTATAGATTAAAGCACATTGCTGTTTGTGAAATGGAAAATAGTAGTAAGACAGTATGATATTTATTGTCTGTTATGACTTGTTTTACTATCTCTGCAGCTACAGTAACGACCATGCTTTTTAGATGATGATGTACTAAACTGCCAGTTTGGGAGACAGCTGAAGGGAGTGCGCTGTCGGTCAGAGTATGTTACTGGATGAATGGCTTTCTTCTGACATACAACACAAAGTACGCAGCCATGGCGACAAGGAGAATTGATAAGATGACGATGCAGACGATAACAGCCACCACGGGGCCGCTGTAGTTGCTCTCAGATGGCAAGTCTGTGTGAGCAGAGAAGAAGAAAGGCATGATGATATCACACAGTATTATCCTTCATTGGTCTGTTAATCGATGTTGCTAATACCGCCTGAGAAAGTCGTGACGAACCGAGATTCTTACCGTAAGAAGCAGAGAAAGTTTGAGCTTCTCCTGAAAAATGTAACAAAACTATGGTCAATAAATGACAGGATTCACTTTTTGTTACTGTTGATGAAATTAACTGATTCAATTTTCACATTTTAAGGAATACTCTTATTTGCACTCTTGCTGAGAATCAGAGGTGAAATTGAATACAAAGCTACCACCAGCCATAGCTTAACATAAAAATGGAAACAGCTAGCCTTAATAATTAACATGTTAGCCATATCTTCTTTGTTTAAACGTATTTTAAAAAAATCACAATTTTTCGATTTCCAGTCTTTATGCTAAGCTAAGCTAAGCGGCCACTGGCTGTAGCTTCATATGTGGCGCACAGATAGGAGACTAGTAGCGTTTTTCTCATCAAACTCTTGGCAATAAAGCAAATGAGCACATTTGCCAAAATGTCAAGCTATTCTTTTAAGAACAGATACCACAAGGAAAGATGGACATTATGGACCCGGTTAATGTCCTCCAAAGAAAAACAACAGTGTCAATCGTTTCAGTAAGTGCCCGAAAAAGAAATGTTTGACAGGAGCGAAGGACGAAACAAGGTGTTTTATTTTAAACCAAATTACGATTACATTTTTGTTATTTTTGTACCTAAACCTAACTTAACCTAAATAACAGCGTTTTGACATTATACAACTTTTTTTAAATGTTTCAACAGTGATGTTTAGTGGTTTTGGAAGAAACAAAGAAATTATGAATTGTCCTGTCGATAGGTAACCAGATGGTTTGATGTACGGAACCATCTGAGAAGCTGTCATTGGATACTGTTTGGAAAAAGGTAGTCACTTTCAATAAATACTTGGCAGGTCATTGGATGAACAATCTGTCAATCAAATTTTTGCCAAAGCCAGTTGCCAGAAAAGCGAAAACTTATTTTCCATCGAGAAAAGACTTCAGTGCCATTCTTTGCTCCTCTTTCAATGATGAAATACTCCAGTTCTGATTAACTGATGCTATTGAGGCAGCTACGCTAACCTCTTTAGGAGCCGCCATTGTTGTTTAGAACAAACAAGGTGCATCTCTGTGTTGTCTCTCACATACCTAAGCCACGCTTGTAGCTAACAGGACGCTGTTTGGTCCGGTCACTGGCTTGCAGGACACAAACACATAATTTGAAGTCTGACAAGATGGCTTGATTCTTGCGTGATCTTGTGACATCAAGATAATCCAGCTGTCTTGCAAGTGAAGCCAAAAGGGCCGTCTTAACCATTTGTATATTTATTCACCATGCAAATTGTTATAGTGATAGGACAAAGGTTATCTTTGTTTGCAGAATTTTGCCCTAAAGACGCACCACTGCTTTGTTTCCCCACAACAATGACAGGCGAGGTCACTGTAGCGTTGGCCAACACATCTGGTGCCTCTCTCTTTCTCCTTCCTGTGGTTGGTCCACAGTTCTGTTTGAAATTAATAAAGAAATAAATGAAAAAAATCAATAATTTGTGACATCTTTAGGCAAAATTAGGACTCTTTAATGAAGTCTTGTTTCTACTCACCGGCAGTAATTGGCTACACGAGGACACCTCACAGAGCCTGGTGACGCAGTGAATGTAGAAAGTGGAAATTGTCTTATTTTTATCCATCACAAATCTGAAGGCCTCAAAGGAGAAGTGTGCTATCTGAGACACCCCATTTATCTCCACCTTAGTTTGAGCATCACCTTGACACCTTGGGTGAAAAGGAGAAAGGTAATGTTACTGCACGTGTGGAAGTACAAAGAGCTAACCTTGAGTTGAGTGGAAGAGTGGAAGGTATTATTTACTGTGGATATATATACATATGAGACTCACCCTACAAAGAGGTCATAAAAGGTGATCAACATGGGATATGGAGTTGGTGTTGCGAAACATCTGTCCAGCAGCACGTTGAACCTGCGAGGACAGACAGGTGGATTTTAAGTGTAATTTCTTATTTATGTAACTTGTGTTTAACTGTAAACTGTCATAACCTAAATACCTTTCAGTTAGATTGGTAGCCTTAACCGCAACATAAATCTTGGTCTTCAGATTTAGTCCTGATGTTGGGATATCAAGTTTCTGTTGGTAGAGCTCATCCTGTTCACAGAAAAGCATGAATAAAATCAAGTTATAAAATGTGAAAAAAAAACTGTGTCCAGTTTTTAAAAGCTACTGTGGAGCAGGTCTTACTTGGTAGAGCTCCATACTCAGTGTGCTAATGAAGGTACCATTGTTGTCTTTTATGGCAATATTCACACCTGATCTGTATTAAATGAAAAGACACCTGGATGAAAATCAAAATGTAGCTCAGTTCTGAATATTTTACGTGCAGTGTTATTCATGGCATACTCACACGTCCAGTTGAGTGTTGTTCAGGAGATACTGCATCGGATAGAAGCAGGAGAACTTGTACTGGATCTGCGAGCGATAAGTGATCATACCCGCAGAGGGGTCTAGAGAGATAACAGTGCCAGAGATGTTGACATACTCAACGCTTGAGAAGTCAGAAAACTGTCCAGTCCCAACCTGGTTGGTTATCTATTGAAAAAACAGACATATTTTACTGAAATTGCTTTGAATCAATTTTCTGATCAATTCTTTGATGAAGGAATTGAAGATATAATGACTTTCATCTCTTTAGTTTTCATCTAATGCTATTCAATTCCATCAAAATGTACCGAAAACAGAAATTTACTGCATGGCACTAAAATCCTCTTAACCGTCATAGCATGATATCTACAAATAAATGTTAAGTACCTTAACTGATGAACACTATTGTGAAGAATACCTTAAAGTCATTATTGCAGGAAGAGATAGAACTGCCATTCAGGGGGAATCTGAATTTTAAAACTGGTGGGACCGCGTCCCAGTCAGCGGTCCCATAACACTCTGGTGTGCTTTTCTGATTATTGAGGACCATCTGAGACTCATTGTAAAGAGCTTGGTACATCGGACATATGTAGATGCTCAGGTCCATATACTCAGTGCCACAGGTCACAGTTATGTCAGCATTTTCTGGGTGGGATAAAAAAAAAGGAGGATGTAAATGGAAGAGTGAAAATAACAGTAATTAAAGAGCATATGAATGAAAAGAGCACAAACCTGGAGGTCTGTTTGTAGGGCTAGTAATGCAAACTTCTGGCGTCTGGGCCTCGATCCTCAGAATGAGGCAAAGCTGGCACACAAGGATTACCAGTCGCATTGTTCTGTGAGTGGACCTGTGAGAAAACAGAAAGACAATGAGATCCAAGGCATTTGCCATCTTCTTTCAAAAGAAAGTGCTTTGAAAGAAAACTGTTGTAATTTTTTAGAGCGCTTCACATTGCCGCTTTTAATAATCTAGTCTCTGAACATATGAGACAAACTAGTTTAAAACTGCCTGTGGGGAGAATTAACATTTAGGAGTTTGTCCATTGTTGGTCAAAGGCTCTGGTCTCGCTGACCACATTTCTCATTTTGGAGAACGCCATGTGAAATAACATCTCTGACTAACGCATTATTCTCAGACTACTCGGTCGGTCGCCTCGTCTCCTCGTGTGTGTAAATCTTACTCGAGTCAAGAAGCTCATCGAAATTTAAATTGGCTGAGTAGCATCACGTGATGTGATTTACAACGCATGTAGTTGGTCGGTGTGTTTCCTGCACCGCAGCACGAGTACCATAAAGGCTGGAAAAGCCGCTCCGGTTAAAATAGAAGTGCTCAGTCAAAATTTAAGAATTCTCCATTATCTATCGGTTTGAGGTCCAGGGACCAGATACAACGACGTCTGGGTCAGGACTCGTACCGCAGTCCGCCTATTAGTGACCCCTGTTATAACATAAGCCCTGAATGCAACATTCAGAAGCAGTCACTTGAAAGACAAAGGAAATACATGCTTCAGCATGGGCTACATCATGATTTATGCATAATTTCAGGGGAAATTGAAACATTAAATTGAAAAAATCTTTTCAAGACACAATTATGAATATAATACATAATACTAGCTGTACTTCCTCATTAACATATCCTGCATTTTGCATATCAAGACAATTTGGAAAAAGTCTGCCATTATTGAACCCATAAAGACTCTTGAATTATATCTCATATATAAAGTTTGATTTAAAGAACCAAATGAATCCAGAGACAAAATTTGAAAACTGCCTTTTTTTCCTCCATGGTCGATGTAGTAATAACATCTAAAAATATTTTTACATAACTAAATAAAGTAATAACGTATAGCCTTTTCATTATAAGCATTATAAAAAATAGAACTATGGAACAACGATGAAAAAGAGGTGATAAAGATATTGCAGGGACTCACCTGTAAGTCTTCATATTCTGTTTTGCTGTCAGCTACCTGACAAGCCTCATATTTATACTGTCTCTCCCCCAGGGCGTGAGGGAGTCTCAGACAATAGTGTAACATGAGTTGTTGTTTTTTACATAATTTACATTTTTTCTAAATATTTTAGGTGTATGTTGTATTTGAATAACAATATACCTTAAATAAGCTCTTTTTTCACACAGTTTTAGATTTGTTCATCTTCTGTTGATTGTAACCTGTAGTTTCTTAAAGCTTTGTTTGAAGCCACAGACAGCTCTCAGCCACAATTAACTGGTGTTAAGCTATAGGTGTTAATAATAAGAAATACTGTTTGTTTCTTTACATACGTACATATGCAAAGCAGAATTTGTCTTAGGAAATGGCAGAGCAGGGTTTTTTTAAAGTAATTTGTCTCTTGGTGGAAACAGTAATCTGTCGAGGATGTCGACAGGCATTTACCATCTTTGTAATGTATTGTCTAAGGCCTTAAACAAGTTCAGTCTATACCTCGAACCACACTTTCTGGATTCAAATGTTGACCCTTTTAACTGACTAATATTTATGATACAAACACAATTTAAATATGAAAAGAATGATACATTTCAATGCCAGCTTGGTTGTATTATTAATGTGACGATATTGATCTCAGCAGAGAGAATTCATTTTAGCTTGTTCCAGTCCTCAATGAGGTCAGTATGTTATTTAAAGACAGACACTGGGAGCTCCCTGTTAAGTCATAGCATTTAAAACAAATATTGTTCTTGTTTCTTGAATGTACAAAAGACAAAATGGTGCAATCCATAGTTTGCTTTTGTCATGTGTTATGTCCTGGAATAGGGATGTTTCTCAGCAGGGTGACCGACTGATTCTGACTTTTTCTCCTCTTGTTGCCACATTTACAGCAGTCAGCTTTAAACTTCCAGTAATGCATTAGCAACCATCTCACATTTGTTCTGGCATAAGATAGAGCTTTATATGTAGGGAAATGCAAGCAAGCTTAATGGATGGTATTGATGCTGTGCAATGGAAAACACTGGATTGCTGTCTTGAGTATGGGCAGGGTGAGCATTGCACAGGAAACCATAATGTATACACACAAACAGTGTTTTATTATTCTTTGGACTATGAAAGAGTAGCATCAGTGATCTAATCACAAATGTCCTCTTTCGAGATATTATGGTGTGATAAAAGTCTCATTATTGTTCTTCCGAAAGCAAGTTTTGTAATGGATCAGTTTTTGTTATGGCCTCAGGCTGTAAACTGTAAATAGAAAATGTCGGTGCTGTTGTGTACAGTCTGCGGATAGAAGACACACCTATCTGAGAGAAATACAGTCTTTTGTGAAGCATCACAACATGAAAGGGACTCCTGGGTAACTCAGGTCCCTGAAGAACAGAACCACAATACACCATGACGATATAACCTGAAAAAGGTGCTTGTTAGATTACTTTAGACGTATCCAGTGTCAAATGCCAGTTTTAATATCCCCTTTGTGGTCTAAATAAGTATTTGTCTGCAAGCCGTGCCATTAGGGTTTCTAAGAGCACATTTCAAAACTTGGACCCTTGGGGAATGATTATAGTAACCTGGTACAGGCAGATTCAGGTCAGTAGCAATAATCAAAAACACAAATGTTTCATATTAAAAGAAAGAGGATAAAGTTGTGTTTGCTGAAGGTTTGTTTAAATTCAGTTCACACAAATGTAGTTTTTTAAAGATTCCAAAATCTGACTAACAACACAGGTTGAATGTGAAAAACAATGACTTTGACTGTTTGAGGATGAACTCATCCTCAAATCGTACCTGAATTAGAAAAAGGATACACAAGATAGGATGACGCTGTAGTGTAGCCTTGTGTTGCCTGGGAATAAAGTAGACCAAGAACGTATATCGTTTGCTTTGCTTTGACGCATGGATGGTAAAAGCCCGGCTTATCTCAGATGTATCAGTATCAGCATATATGTTAGTCAATAAGTAACAAGAAATTGTAGTACAGAAATGACAATATGTTTGAGGTAATTTAGAAAAAGTTTATCCACTGTAAACCCACTGTATACTATTGGCTCAGCACCAAACAGCAGACAGATACATTTGGCAACTTGTGAACATAGTGGAGCAGCTAAAGAGACAGATATCTCCCTCATGAGTTGGTGGAGACCAAAAACAAGGCTGAAAGAGAGTGAATGTTGGACGTACATCGATTAGGTGGCCAGAAATAAGACTCCAAATGAATGATAATGTTGCTCTGTAACCGCAACAGCTCGATGTGTAAATAAGCAAATGTCAGTCAGTCAAATGTTTCCTCATTGTGTATCCCAAAATGGTTATTCTTATAAGGAATTCATATGAACAATGCATGCTTATGTTATGGCTTTGTGTTAAAAATCACATTTTTCTAACTCTCCAATATCAATACTGATATTGGTATTGGCCTCAAATGTTCAGTATCTGTGGGGTTTTAATAGATTCCACTATAACTAGCAGAAAGGTGACAATTGAGGGAAAAACAACTGTTACGTGGATTGCTTGAACTCAAAATGTCTATTTGTAAAGGTTTATAATCTATATTTCTGTATTAGCAATGATTCACATAATTGTAAGTGAAAGGGTATTATCATCCAACTAACTTATCTGTGTACTTGCTGTTTTTCTCATACAACTGTAAAGAAAAGAGGGATTTTGGTGTCTATATCATCATTGATAAACTCCAATATTTTATCAACACACATCCCTTACACTTTGCAACAATGCCAGTAGTCTGTACAAAACACTTTCATGTGTCTGTAAATGTGACTCACAGACATGTGAATACTACACTCTTAATGGAACAAAGGCATCTATGGATGTTTACATTGAAATAAGAATGGTGGTTAAGTCTCAGGGAACGAAACAAGTGTCTTGTCTGTGCCTTTTGACAGTAAAGACAATTCAATACACATCCACTGATGGGGAACATTGCAGGGAAAAATACTGTTTATTAACAGCCTAAATTACACAACACAAGGCCACGTTGAAAAGACAATGTTTTCATAAAATCTGAAATTTGTAATCGTGTTTTTTTTGGCAATTTAAACAATAAGGAATTGTCAGCAGCCTCATAGCCTGTGCAGGCCAAAACACCCTTAAAAAGTTTGCAATAAAGGATAGTTTGGCAATTTGATTGCCAAAGTAAATCCCAGAAATGAATGTGAAATATGCTTGAATTCATTTTGTTGTGCATGTATATCTTATTTGTATACATTGTACTTACATTGTGCTCTATTAGAACTTATCTTTTACTTCCTTTTCTGTTTTTTTCTCTATATTGCACCTTTACAGAATCAAATTAACCGGAGAGCATTGAATTATTTAGTCTAACCTTACAATAGATTTCCTTTCAACAACAGCTTTTGACTGTAAGTGAATGCTGGGAGTCACACTATCAAACACATGCAACACCTGAGCAGTATCAAAACATGTTATAACAGGAACCTAGGAGGAGCCCTTTTTTAACAGCTTTTGACTGTAATTGAATGCTGGGAGTCACACTGTCAAACACATGCAACACCTGAGCAGTATCAAAACATGTTATAACAGGAACCTAGGAGGAGCCCTTTTTTAAAGTCACATCAGGACACAATCCTTGCATGAACTGCACTGTAAATGGTAAACCAATCCCTAAAACTTGAGGATCTGTGACCCACTTGCTGGTTTTTTGGGAGGGAATCTATAATATCAGTATCGGTTCTCAAATGAATATTTGGTGTTGCACTACAGAGCGAGAGACTTAATGGGTTCAAAACCCGACACCTATAGGTGCAGTTAAGCTTTTCCGGTCTGCTTGTACCTGCACTGACTTCAAAGAGTTATAGAGTACTTGAACTCTCCTTGGGTGTTGGAAGAAATACTTTTGTTTTAC